AGAACTGTCAAATACGCGTACTGTATGTATATTATAATTTGCATTATTTTCATAACGGAGAATAAAAGGTTTTTGTTTTTGACACTGAAGAGAATTCTCAAATTCATCTAATGATAGTGCGCTTAGGTCATTCTGTTATCTAATTGTATCAGGAAATCAAAAATTTGCCTTGTTCCGCTTTGGTCTGAAATGCTTGGAAAATGGGTTTGCGGTTGTCAATTTTCAAAATGTTCCTGGGAGGCCGTAACTAGCTCAGAGCGACGAGGGGGCTGGAAGTGTTCTCAGGGGTGCTGTAAAATTGACGGACAATGAATGTTAGACAATTTTTTTACAGGGGGGGGGGGGGATTTTTTGCAGGTGGGGAGGGGGGACTGCGCCCTGCTTGTTACGGGCGTGTAATGATGACAGGCATTACAGGAATCTTTATACTTCTTGGATTTGACCAATTTGTGTCCGGTTTGACCAAAGTGAAATTTTGTCGTTACGGTTTATGGCCGATGTGGAAACAGCCTTTCAAAACAGCGTCTCGTCTTCATTACCCCAGTTTAGGAGCAGAACAGTAGAACGTTAAACCATATTTCATTTCAAAACAGCGTAACTGATTTAAGGAAACTGCCAATCAAAACAAGTTATACAACTATGGAAACTGCGATTCAAACTAGGTAACTACGATACACTACAAAAACAAGCCAGCAGTGAGGCTGATGTCCCATCCGACACATATTAATTTATCGCACATTTATCTTTTTCAAAAGTATCAAGCAATCAACCTGATTATCAAATGTACACTAAGCTCATCACATAAAATCAAAGTTATCTTGGCCTAAGGCATTGACCAATGAAATTGCTTAGCTCTACTTAACTTTAGCTCGAAGTGTTAATCATTGAACTCTGTCAAGACATTCACCTAATGAACATCTACATCAACTAAAAGCAGAGTTGTTATGTTCCAAAGTCTTGACCAATCAAATTCCTTATCGCTCCTTAGTCTAAGCAGAAAGTTCTCATCATCGAACTTAGTAAAAGTAAAGATATAATGAATCTATACTCGGAGTTTCATCAATCTCACTTAATTATAACCAAAGTTATCGTGTCCCAAAGCATCAAGCAATCAGATTGCTTATCTCTGCTTACCCTAAGTAGACAATGTTTATCATCAAACTGGATCAAAGCATTCACCTAATGCACGCCTACACCAAGTTTGAACATTCTACCACAATTAGGAGAGTTATTGTGTTCCAAAGTCTCGACCAATCAAATTGCTTATTGTTCTGCTTCCCCTGAGCAGAAAATGCTCATTATCGAACTTAGTAAAGGTATTGATGTAATAAAACTATACACCAAGTTTCACCACTCTTGCTTAATTAGAACTAAAGTTATCGTGTCCCAAAGCACCAACCAATCAAATTGCTTATCTCTGCTTACCCAGAGCAGAAAATGCCCCTCTTCGAACTCCATCAAGGCATTGACCTAATAAATACCTACAGCAAGTTTGAACATTCTAGCTCAATTAGAAGGAGAGTTATTGTGTCCCAGAAAGTGTGACAGACAGACAGACAGACGGACGAACCCATTTTAATAGTCTCCTGCTTTCTTCGAAAGGCGGGGGACACAAAGAAATACAACATTCAAGCGTTTCTTCTACCATTTTCGATTTTTTTTAAGTAGGATCTTTAAATGTAGTTGTCTCCCTTGAACAAATTCCAGCGCTCAAAATTACCCGATGCCCGCGCCACTAGATTCCACAGATGGTGAATGACCAACTGCAACCTACTTAATAATTACCATTGTTTACGATAAAAAAAATAAATGAAATAAATATCAACGTCTACAAGTGATTCTCGAAAACCTACTTACAACTTATGCTGTATTTTAAACTCTTTTCTATTCATTAATTCTTACAAATTCTACCAAAGTTTTCAGAAATACTTTAAAATGCCGATGAATTCTGCACAATTCTACCACTGATTACTGCCAAGCATGATGGGAATATTGAGGGAGCTATTTAATATATTCATATAAATTTTAACCTATAAAATAAAACATAATTTATAGTTTGTTGGCTACTATTTTCTTCATTTTGTTAATTTGTTTTGGTGCTTTTTTTTCTACCAAGGATATTCGACTCATAGTTATCCAGTCTTAAATAATCGGACCAGGTGTGAACTATATTTTTGTTTAAGAACTTGAAAAATATTTTTGAAATATCAAGCAGGGCCATAACTAGCTCAGAGCAACGAGGGGAGCGGGAGGTGTTCTCAGGGGTGCTGTAAAATTGATGAACAATGTATATCTCTTTTTTTGTATGGTCGAAAATTTTTTCACAGGGGGAGTGTGGGGGGACTTTTTGCCGGGGGGGGGGGGCTGATGTCAAGCAATCATTAGAAAAATAATAGTTGCAATATACCACATTTTATTCCACAAAGTATAGGCCTACTTTTGAATAGTTTTAGTGCACATATGAACCATTTGACAAAGAGTGCAAATCGGAATTTTTTCATCAAAAGACGCATATGTTCCAATGAGTCACAATAGTATATCTAAAAACATTTTAATGTTTCAAAAATGATTTTAAAAGAATGAAAATGAATGGTCGTTTGTATGAAAAATACTGTAAAACAAAAGCAATGCTAAAAAAATGAAGATAATCAGGTCCATAACTATGTGAGTAATTAGTTCAGGTGGATTAAATTCAATAAGCATCAACATTAGAGTATTAGGATTAAAGGACAAAATTGGTGTCAGTCATTATCACATATGTGATAGAACTAATTAAACACGTTCCAAATATAATTTTAACACAGAGATCATTGCTACGACAGCTGAGTAATACAGGTTTCCTGAATCGGAAGTGATGAACGCCAAAGGAAAACACGAGTCATACCTCTATATAACTGACTGATGTGACGAGTGATAACAGATACACGGCCGGATTTCTGCTCACTAATACTTCCTTCCAAGAACAAAAGTTGTAATGTTGGAGACATTAGTACAGACTATAATCACACAGTTTCAGATTTTTAGGTGCTCATCTACCGGGTTCTATCGGTTCGAAAATACGAGGCAATTTTCGAAAATTTGTGTCTAAAACCATATTCGAGTAGTGAAGACTGGTGCGTTTTCATATGTTTCTTATGTAGTACTACCTGCAATCTCTGGATAGGCGAAGATTTGGGTCTATATCTATTACTTTGTAGCTGTTGAGCACAACAAAATCCAGAAAATATACAATTACACCAAAATTTTTTTCGGTTTTTATGACTAAGTAGCATGCGAACCCTACTGCACTGTGAGCTGTATATCTTCACCAGAAAGGTAAAAATAAGATATCTGAAACTCGAGTAAACTATTGATACATATTTTGTTTCGACAACTCATCGGTAACTCATGAAACTCAAATGCCCGTATCTCAGTCAATTTTCAAGCTACAGACCACAAATTATTCACAGTTTCTCGTTTTTACATGTACAATAACATATATGTTTTCCTGATTTTTTCGAGGGTGTCGATTTCCCACCCCTGGCCCGCTTGACATGGAATGACCCACGGGCGAATTTCTGCTCACTAATAATTCCTGTGAGGCTGTTAGCGGATATCTGATAATTCAAAAAAGTAAATGAATGTCATTAGATAAAGGAAAACGAGAAAAATAGAAATAGTTCGTAAATTCCCTTGTTTTTTATTTTATTTTTCTCTTATCTAGTGACAGACAATTGTTTTTTCAAATTGTCAGATATCCTCTCACACTCTCATATAACAACTTTTGGTCTTCCAAGGAATTATTAGTGAGCAGAAATTTGCCCGTGAATCTGTTATCATTCGTCACTTCCCTTTCTTGAAAGCTTAATAACGCATCTATCGTAACAATAATCTCTGTGTTAAAATTATATTTGGAATGTTTTTAATCAGCTCTATCACATATGTGATAATGACTGGCACCATTATTGATATCAATTAATTGACGAAGAAATTGAACGTGTATGGGGGACATTGACGGCGAATTAATTGATATAATTTAATTGAATCAATTAATTGACGGATCAAAGTTCCTTTGATATTTATTGACGGCTCGTCAATTATTAAATAGACCGTGTGTGCTAGTGCCAGAGATGCTTTCATCTCGAAGTTTTCGATCAGAATGAAAATTGACGCTAAAACATTGATCGTGTGTGGGAAATGTCAATTTCGACAATTAATTTATATCAATTAATTGACGAAAAAATTGAACGTGTATGGGCCGCTTAAGGAAGTTTTGACTAGGATTTGGACCAAAACAAGTACGGATCATCCTTAGGGTATGGGGTGTTGGGTGATCTACATTTGTTGACAAGAATATACAACCTTTGGTAAACTGTCCTCTATCAAATTCCTAGACATAACTCTACAATTTGCAATGGAAAATTACTCATTTTCGATGGGATCGCGAGTCTTCCTTGTACCAAAAGAATAATCCCAAAAAGTTTTAAAGAAAGGTTGCCAGGCAACAAAAGACATATCGTACGGTATACAGCTGGCAAGGTGTCAGACCAATCGATCCATAAAGATTGTCAAACTAAGAATCTTTTGGTAAATCAGAATTAAAATCTGTATACTATATAATGATATCATTGCCACATTAACAATATTCTATAATCAAGGGCAATTACTCTTTATATAATTATCATAAACTTGTGTTATTCATACAATGGAAGGGGATAAACAGATGCTGCTAGAACATTTACACGTGAATAGGCACCATAACTCTAGAAATTCAATGTAGACCTATAAAACTTCCATCGAGAACAAAGACCCCAGCCCACTAAAAAAAACTCTGCCATTCTAAGAATTTGGAGGTTGTTATGTAAATAAGAATTTTACTTTAACAAACATTGATTCAGAATTTTTTTTAATTATTTATTGGATTTTAATTACTGGGTAAAGCCCCTTTTTATACTTAATTGCTTAGTATGCATAATGACAGCCCACATGCAGGTGTAAATGACATTAATAAAGTACAACAATTGTTGGTATTTCATGTGATCATTTATCAGCAATACAAACTATACATGTATAATGGTATTCGTGACAAAATCACCTCACAACATCACATTAATCATGCATTAAAAATCATACAAAATTCCAGGATCAATAATTATACATTCATATTAAATAGACATACAACAAATGAATTAGATTTTCAGTTCTTTAAGATTTTGGAAAGTACATAAAACTTCCAACCAAGTTAGGGTTTTTCAGAAGTCCAACCAACTCCTTAGTACTGTAACTATACTTTTTTATTTGAAGCTAGAGTTTTCTCAAAAACTAAAATTCAAATTACTGTTGCCTTATTAACCATTTTAACTGAGATCTGAAAAAGATATTAAATGTTCTCAATGTTCTAAAATATGAAGAAATTAACATCCACACTTTAACACAAACTGATGATAATAATGCATCGAATACTCATATTAAAAAAAATAATTCTGAGATCATTTTTTAATTTTTAATAAATGACAATACAATAACTGGTTATTACACTAGGTTGGATATTCCATACATCAAACAAGTCTGTGCATAGAGGAAACATTAGTCAAATCTGGTGGTTTTTCTTCCACTAGAATGTAAAAACTGCAGATTAAAATGTTTGTGTAAATATATGTAGGCGTGAAGTTCTGCGAGCATGGCCTAAGTGCATTCCTGTGAAGAGATTAACCATCTTATTATGGTAGTCTTTAGTAATTCATAATGCTTTATATGGTGTGAGGACCTTATATGGTAATGGAGTTCAAGATTTTCGAAATTATTTGAGGCCATTAATTTAAGCTGCTTAGTCCAAGCAGAAAATACTCATCAAACTCAATCAAGCTATTAATTACCTATAGAATATCAACAAGTTTAAACATTATACTCCAATTAGAAGCAGAGTTATTGTCTTCCAAAGAGTGACAGAGACACACAGCTGCTTAGCCAAAGCAGATAATGCTCATCACCAAACTCAGGACATTAACCTAATAGATAACTACACAAAGTTTAATGTATATCTTATGATTGCTAGAATTGACGTCTACTCAGATTTCAAACACATGTTGTCAATGTTGAAGTTAATATAACCAATACAAAAAGTTTATCAGTATTTTCCTTACATATTTTCGGGCAATGAAAAATTTGACGACCTTTTTTTTCTATTAACGTTTAGAGAAAAAATATAACTAACTTATTTCTATGAGATCCACACTGCCCGAAAAGTATTTTCTCATCTTTTTCTTGTCCACTGCATGCCCAAAAATATGCCCGAAGCTCTCTTATGATATGTATGCCCGAAAAAACAGTATTGATTTCGGGCAATTTTCTCTTATGCCCCCCTGAATTACTTTGAGCTCCTACAACTATGCGCAAACGAGTTATTGAAATAAAATTTAACCATTTGTTAGACCTGAAATGACCTAGTTTGTGTTGCGTGGACGTTAAACCCCATTTCTCTCTCTGTCATTTGTTGGGGTTTTTTTTATAAATAAGTACTGCTTAAAATACATGAGATATTTTTAGGGTTTATATAATGTATATCTCATTTTGGAGAAAAGTGCTTTATGTGTTAATTGGCATAGCTGTTTTTAAATATTTGAAATTAATGCAGATTTCGGATAAAATATACAGTTATTGTCTTATTTATAGACTGGTTCTGGGCATTTTGTAGTATAGTAAGGCAGTGGTTTACCCCACTGCATCAAAACATATGCCCACAGCAGCTAAACTTGTCAACAGAAATTCAATAGGCTGCAATGTTTTACTAATTTAAATAATACATGTAAATTTAATACAGATCACGGAATACCTTTAATCGTTAGAGCGTTCACAAGATTCAACAAAGTGAAACAAGGGCCATAACTCTAAAAGTTATAATCGGTAATTGCCGAAATTCCACAGGCTTCTTTGTTTTACTAATTTAAATAATACATGTAAATCTAAAACAGATTGCAGAATAATTTTAGTCGTTAGAGCGTTAACAAGGTTCAACAAAGTGAAACAAGGGCCATAACTCTAGAAGATATAAGCGGAAATTGCTGAAATTCAACAGGCTTCTTCATTTTACTAATTTAAATAATACATGTAAATTTAATACCGTTATTCTAGAAGTAATTAATGGAAATTGTTGAAATTAAAAAGGCTTCTTCACCTTACTATTGTAAACAATATACAACTGTATATAAATTTCAAACTGATCAGATGATAAATATACAATAAATATATAAGAAATTTCATAAGAAATTGTGGACATATAAAAAAGAAGCAGTTAGGCAGTATTGATGAGGTTTTCAAGTGAAAATCAAACGCTATTGGCACTGAAATGGGGGTAGGGGGAAGAGACAACCTTCCCAACTCCCCAACCTGCTCCCTATGCCCAGTGCTTCAGATTTCTAAAACAATGCACTGGCCTTATTGGTCCAGACATAAAACCTTATTTCATTTGATATCATTTCGTTAAAATGATTGACAATGTACAATTATAAACCAATAATATTAATAGTCATGAGATTTACATCGGATTTAAGTTATTTACCCTGACTTAAGCTGTACACATTATTATGAAAGAAACAAATGACAAAATAATTTCAAATGTTTAACATCAACTTCTGATCAGATTTTAAATTACGAAACTTAAGTTGCATGTGATCGGAATTCCTTCAAAATTCTCCCGCCTACTTTCAGTTGTTCAATAATTTCACCAGAGTCAGGATCCAAAGAACGAAAAACAAACGGGTGTAAATTATAAAGGTATTGACAAGGTACATTCTTAATCAAATGTGTAGGGCAATCCATATTCCTCTTGTGTAAATAACTTGCAGAAACACAACGGTTCACATCGAATATACTTTTAACTACTTTCTCCATTTTGTTTGGAACATAAACCATTTGATTTTCAAAGGGTCTTTGTACTAGAGGAAATATGTCATTTTTATTGAAAAGAATGTCTGGTTTTGTAGCAGGAGTTAATCCCCAAATATGAGTCGAGTCCTGGTCATAGAAAAATATATCTAGAAACGGGTATTTGAAATGTTTTCCACGAGAATTGTTGAGAGCTCTTGGGAAGATTTTCCACTGAAAATGTGAATGTACCATTAATTCAATATCTGGCATTCCCGAAAATGCATCTCGAATCTTTGACCAATCGGCAACATCCATTATCACATCCACATCATCGTCCCATGGAATTAAACCCATATGCCGATAGGTTCCTAATAATGTTCCTTCGATGACAAAATATGTTAAATTGAATTTTTTACAAACCTCCAAATAAATATTTAAGGTGTAAAGCATGATGTTGCGCTCATCAAGTGACATCATGGGCTGAAAGTTGAGGAATGTTTCCAGTTGTTTTGGGGAATCAAAATTTACTATATTGTCTTTCTCGTTATCCATTTTATAAAGTAAAAAATTGCTGTAATAACCAATACGTGACAATTCAAAACTCCTTAAAAGTTGGCGGGTTAGAGGAAAAGATGTATTATACGGGTGTACAGGTTTGCTTTCTAGATTGAATCTCTGCCAGTTAACTAATGACTTGAGAATGTGCTTTATGTCGTTGTTCTGCCATGAATTTGGTATTTTAGGGAAAAATAATCCAGAAAAAAAGAGAACTATTATTACAGCTGACAAACAGAGACACACGAAGCTTCGTTTTAATGAAATCTTCATTTTGATCCGGTTTTGCATATTTCATAAATACATCACAATATGTGAACCTTCACCTAAAATTCAAATTGATATAAATCACACTTGTATCAATTCACTTCACAAACACATGGACTACGGTAAACTATTCTTTGGTTACAGCTATTCAATTTTGGAATAGGTTTTGTCACATTTTAAAGTAAAATAAGATTATATTAAATGTGATATATCTAATCTATAAAGCATGATTAGTGTTCACACATTAAATAATAACCATCACATAATTACTGTCCTATTAAATAATTACTATCACATTAAATAATGACTTCATCGTGTGCTATAGACATTGATTCAACAAACTACTCTAATGCTACAGGATTCATTTTTTGACATCATCACCCTGAAATTATAAAAAAAAAACAACAATATTTTAGTCTCATAATACTTAACAATGCAATTTGTCATGTAGACATCATGCAATTATTTCATCCTCAGTTCAATTGAAGTCCATTCTCATGCTCAATTTTTAGTGCTAGACACCAGCTTTGTGTTCTATGTTTAGTTTAAGGCTAGTTCCCTCTCATGGGCATAAATATTATATAGCTCCAACTATCCAGGCAATATTTATTTTCAAAAGTTGCTAGGATAATTACTATAAATTTTAAACTAATCAATGCTGTTGTCAGTAACTCTGAAAGAGGTCATATTTTCAAACCAAATATACTATGTTGAGGAAAGAAAGATACATGTCATTATTATCATTTACATTGTACTGTAGAGTCTAAAATTAACAGTGAAATATCTTTTTATCACCAAATTTAGCAATGTCCCTTGATGGTGAACCAAATATTAATAATTTTCAAACATCAAAATCCTTCATTTGGATGAGGGGTGCAGGACTGTAACCAGCCTGTTGGCTGCGGAGAAGCAGTAAGCTTTTTAGGGAGGGTGGGGGTTCTTTCCGGGGTCCTCCCCAGTGACAGATCATGAGCTGCCGGGCCCTTGTGACAAGATGACACTCTAATTTTTGAAATTTCGACCTGAAATGGTGGTCTGTGGAGTATATCCCGGGCGGGAAGTCATATACTTAGTTCTAAGCAGAAATAACTATTGCCGAGAGGAGGTCAGTGGGAAGGGCCTTATAAATATCGGTTCGCAATTCTTGTCAAGCAAGCTGGTTGAGTGAGAAACAGGGGCCCGATGGAAATATTGGACAATTAACAAGACCGCTACCTGTCAACCAGAAATAATATCGGGTTATGGAAACATTACCTAATAATTTCAAAACTAATCGAAAAAGGCCACTATGTTTCACGATTTTTGGGAAATGGGTCTTCATTATTTTTTTCTAACAAATAAAAAAAAAAAATTTTTTTTTCACCAAATCGGAGCCCGGGCCAAGGAATTTGCCTCTGTTGCCCTCCCCATGATTCATTACTGCTCCTCTCCTTTAAAATTTTTAAAATTGGATGGCCACAAACGCGTTTTGCAACCCAGAAAAATTATTCTCTAGCAAACTCTGAACAATGAAGATAGTAGTAAGACAGGGACCCCACGACAGTGGGCCATTGGGCAAGTCAGTACAAAACATATGGCAGATAGATGTCAGAACATAACCAATAACCAAGGGGCTGTGACAGTGGCGGGAATGTAAGCTTGGCAAGCAAAGATGATCTACTGTAAGCAGAAACATCGCTTTCCAGCAATAATTTCTCCCACACAACAGTCAACACTGTATGACATGTCCATCTTTATTAGCCCAGTTGTTGCAGAAATGTAGGAAAATCAACTCCATTTCACTTCACTTAAATTAAGTCAATTGGATGATGTTTGAAATTGACGATCTAAAAAGAACACTGACTTTTAAAACATTCCATTAAAAACCATGGCCTGTTTTGTATTTACAGGTGTTTAATTTTTAGTTTGAATATAAACTTTGGGATATCCCTGTGATCAAAAAAGTCTGCATATTTGAAAAAAATCTGTCAAAACTCTTAACCTGTAGGATGTTCATTAGAAATTATGATAAATGACAGAAATAGTTATACATCCACATTAAATATAGAGATAAATGATATAAATATATCAACATGAATGACAATATTTATTGCATTGAGTGCCGAACATGGAAGGCAATTACAGTAAATTAATTTTGCGGGGATAAGAAATACATTTTTGGATATTATTTATATCATGATCGTTATCGAAAAACCTTAATATCAGCCTGCATATGTACCAAGCAACATTATTTAATAATATATACATTCTTCAGCTGTTACAATAGAAGAAAGTAATAAAGTTCAAGTAATAAAGTTCAAGGCTGAAAATATCTGAAATTTCCCCATAAAAATGGGCACCTACACCTCAGGGGGGATTGAATGGCCGAATGGTTAGCACGTGCGCGCTGTATCATACGGTCTGTCAATGAGTCAATTGGCGGGGTTTCAATTCTCCGGTTGTACGTGGCAGGGAATAGGGTCGCATGTCCAACCTCGTGGGTTTTCTCCGGGTCCTCCGGTTTCCTCCCACTGCTAAAGACCCCTACGCGCAAGTGAATTATTGAAATAAAATTGAACCATGTGTTAGTCCCGAAATGACCTAGTTTGTGTCGAGCGGACGTTAAACCCCATTTCTCTCTCTCTCCACCTACGCCTCAGACAACATACTACTGACCTTATGCAGCTGACATTCATCCATCAAGCAACTGGTGAAAAGAAAATGTCTAATTCAGCCTTTCTAGCTAGGTGACCTACATAAATCACACACCTACCAAATCTGTGTTGGGGGTTCAACCAGATAATACCTGTTTTATAACCTGCTCTTATCTAAATACAGGTAACTGTCTTATTTCTACATGGGTTTAAAATTTGTTTACCAATCTCATTAATCCTCTAGTTAAACAGTTCACTTTAGATAATCCTAATACTGACTAATCCCATAATCATATGTACCCATGCAGTCTTGCCAGCAAATACTAAGATTTACTACAATATCATTCCATTTAATTTTGACCCACCAAAAATCAATTGCCAAGGCAAAGACCCTACAAATGTTTTGGGCTTTTGGTTAGAGATTGAAATCAAATTTGGTGAGAACTAGATGAAACTCTTTAGATGTACTGTTAAAGGACAATATTGGTGTCAGTCATTATCACATATGTGATAGAACTACAGTGTAATTAAACACGTTCCAAATATAATTTTAACACAGTAGTTCCAAATTTTGGCTACTCTGAGAAATTATTAATGTTATCATATTCTGTAAGTTTCATGGAAATCGGTTGATAATTGTGATCTGTGGCCGTGCCACATGAAATGTGTGGTAACCGGATATCTTGGAAACCGCTAACCGGAAGTAGTCGAAATTTGGCCTACTCTTGAGATGGAAATCGGTTTGTAATCGCGGTCTGTAGCCGTGCCACATGAAATGTGTGGTAACCTGATATCTCCGAAACCGCTAACCGGAAGTGGTCGAAATTTTGGCTACTCTCAGATATTATTAATGTTATCATATTCTGTAAGTTTCATGGAAATCGGTTGATAATTATGATCTGTGGCCGTGCCACATGAAATGTGTGGTAACCTGATATCTCGGAAACCGCTAACCGGAAGTAGTCGAAATTTGGCCTACTCTTGAGATATTATTAATGTTATCATATTCTGTAAGTTTCATGGAAATCGGTTGATAATTGTGGTCTGTGGCCGTGCCACATGAAATGTGTGGTAACCTGATATCTCGGAAACCGCTAACCGAAAGTTGTCGAAATTTTGGCTACTCTGAGATATTAATATTATTAATGTTATCATATTCTGTAAATTTCATGGATATCGGTTGATAATTGTGGTCTGTAGTCGTGCCACATAAAATGTGTAGTAACCTGATATTTTGGCTATTCTGAGATATTATTAAAGTAATTATAATCTGCAAGTTTCATTGAAATCGGTTGATAATTGTGGTCTGTAGCCGTGCCACATGAAATGTGTGGTAATTTTCCTGATATCTCGGAAACCGCTAACCGAAGTGGTCGAAATTTTGCCTACTCTGAGATATTATTAATGTTATCATATTCTGTAAGTTTCATGGAAATCGGTTGATAATTGTGGTCTGTGGCCGTGCCACATAAAATGTGTGGTAACCTGATATCTCAGAAACCGCTAACCGGAAGTGGTCGAAATTTTGGCTACTCTGAGATATTATTAATGTTCTCATTTTCTATAAGTTTCATGGAAATCGGTTGATAATTGTAGTCTGTAGCCGTGCCACATGAAATGTCTGGTAACCTGATATCTCGAAACTCGCTAACCGGAAGTGGTCGAAATTTTGCCTACGCTGAGATATTATTAATGTTTCATCGTAGATAATACCGTATTATCTGTGGTTTCATTGAAATCGGTTGATAATTGCGGTACGGAGACTTGCCACATGTGGCAAATAGTCTCCGGATTGACTTACCACATGACAAGGCAAATAACCCCAGCCTATATTTTCAACAGGCTTGTACTTGTAGTGTACAGTAGCCTACATATTATATTATTTTAATTTATCTGACATATGAATACTACATAGTTATAATCTAAAATGCTTCATTGATTAAATATTTCAAAGCAATTAATTTGTATTGTGCTCAATGCTAAATGTCACTCATGGATAAGAATTAATTACCTCAATTAAATATAGACTAATATTATGTTCCTATATAATTCCTATATTATGTTGATAATACATTTATAGGGTTTCACATTTAGGCTGTGATTTAGCCCCGAAAATCGTTTCATCTCGTCCCAGCAAATTCTGGGTGAAAATCTGACGCTTTGTTACATAATTTAACTAGTAGGCCGTCACTGTCGCATACATTTCTGTTCCGATGCATTGCACAATACGTCTTGCACTCGAATTACGTCACGAACTATATTTGTCAAGTGTAGCCATAATCGGGTGAAAAAATCAAATTCTAAGCCAATCAGAAACCATAAAAGCAAAGATCGTCATTAGGTCAAGGGTCAATGGCCATAAATAGACCAGGGAATACATTTTATGAGACGGAACACGTTGGATTGCAAATATGCCGGGATTACTGGATAATACCACCTGTTAAATGTTGCATTGACACGGTAAAGACGACTTACCCCTGATCTGTGGCATAAATATGGCCAATAATTGGGAAATAGCACCAATGATTGAATGAATCTGTTATTTTCTGGAAACAAGTATTTCTTCAAAACTATTTTAGTGAAACAATATCCAAGAGAAATATATACTTAATACAGATGAAAACGATTTTGGCATGCTTGAAATACTGCTTTGGTCTATTAATTATATATAATGACGTTAAGAAAAAACAAAAATAATAATACCATGTGATCTGATCAATACAATTAATAATAATTCACCTTCATCAAT